TTTCACCTGATTTGAATACTGCTGTATAATCAGTGGTGCATTTTTTGACCTTTAAGATTAAATATTGTTAAACACTAGTTTGGTAGGACTGTAGTATGTGTGGGAGGAAATTATCACTCTCCAGAGACAACATAAGACAGATGTATAGCCAGATAACTGGCATCATACCTGTGTAATTGCCCAGTTAGATTTGTTTTCTTCCTTCTTCTTGCAATATATTTCGAAATCTCAAGATTCTACAGCATCTGTAGGTGACAAGTCAGCCATCTGCTTTATAAAAAGTTACATTAAAAATTCCTTGTGTATTAGAAGGTGGAGGCAGGAAGGAGTCCAAGGTCAGCCTATTACACATAAGATATGTTTTTAATTTCTTGGATGGGCCAGAGAGCTGGGCCAGGGCTGCTCTTCAGAGGACCTAGGTTCAATTACTGGTACCCATATGACAGCTCAGCACTATTTTTAACTCCAGTTCTCAGGGATCTGATGCCCTCTTCTGATCTCTGCAAGCACTGAATGCATGTGATGCAGACAGCTACCTATATACATAAAAATAATAAAAGTTGGTTTGTTTGTTTGTTTGAATTCCTTAGTGGAGGCTGGCTGAAGCATGATTCTGATGCAGAGTTCTTGCTTAGCTACCATGAGGAAACCCATGAGAACCCCAAGATTTGGACCCATTTGAGATCCTCCCTGCTCCCTCCTTTCCTTCTCCCTCTTGCTACACCCCACTCGCTCTAGCCCACTGGCTCTGGTCCCCGCCTGTTCTGGGCCACTTGCTCCGGCCCAAAGTCCACTGTAGCTGTCTTCAGATACCCATATGAGGGCATCAGATCTCATTACGGATGGTTGTGAGCCACCATATGGTTGCTGGGATTTGAACTCATGACCTCCAGAAGAGCAGTCGGTACTCTCAACTGTTGAGCCATCTCACCAGCCCCCCATTTGAGATTCTTTTACCTCTTTTACTTTGTTGGATACTCACAATATTGGATACTCCCTATTGGGAGAGTGGAGTGTTGGTGTAGTAAGAATTAGGAATTTGTAGGGATGCCATCCTTGACTGGGTACTTAAACCAGTTTCCTTCCCTTTAGTGAGGAAGATACAACTCCTTGGGCCCACTCTGTTCCAGTAAAGATGTCTAGATTCTCTGGATATCAGTGATATGTGTGGTGTGGGAGCCAGGTCTTCTAGAACGTGCTTAGGTTTGTCTGTGGTCCACACGTTCTTTCCAAGGGTTGGTGACCTCACTACATCCCAGCATCTTCATCTCCTCTTCTTGTATAGACTTACACAGATGCTCACTAAGACATGTCGCTCCCCTTAGTCTCTTACCTCAGACTTACTGCAGTTTGGCTTTCTGCCTCAGCTTCTCACATACTGAGGTTATAGACGTGGGCTACCACATCATAAAAGTCCTCGGTATGCTGAGTGGGCAGGCCTTATGGAGAGGGCAGTGTTGGATCTACCCTCTGCAACCAGTGTAGCTGCTCATAGTCTCTGAGTGCCCTAGCAAAAGAAGACAAGACGATAAATGAATTTTGGGGCCTGGTGTAGTGGTACAGGCCTTTAGTCCCAGCAGGCAGACAGGTAGAGCTATGTGAGTTTGATGTGATCCTGTTCTAGTGAGTTCCAGGACAGCCCGGAACGGTCTGTAGGTGGGTAAGGAAAGTAAAAGAAAGGGATTTTTGAATAATGCTTGTCAGAGAAAAGACAATTGTGGACTGGATTTTGCCGTCTAACAGAGCTTAGTACTGCCAGGATTGATCTTACTGCAGAGTTATAGGTGAGGATGGGCTCAATAAAATGATAATAAAAAGCCAAACACTAGGAAACAGATTATGTGTATTGCCAGTTACTGTCCTCTCTAGCTGACCTTTAAACTTGAGTGTCCTCAAGAATCATTTAGGGATCTAGTTAGAAAGTGAGTGGATGGGCTCTAGGGTAGTCTAGTGTGTGCATTTCTAACAAAGTCCCAAGGGATGGTGATGTTGCTTGCTTAGGGACCACACTGATAGCACGAATCCAACAGTAATAATAGCCATATATATTTCTTTTTCTATAGCAGGCACAGAGCAGTAAAATAATGATAGCTGTTACTATAACCAGCTAAAACTCTTCCTTTCTAAGCTTGACCTTGAGCATGCTCTCCAAGGTAGGGCTTCCCAGCTTCAGCACTGCTGGGATCTGCAGCTGAAGTAATTATGTGTTCTGCTGTGTCACGTGCACTTCAGGGTGCTTAGTGCATTCCTGACCTATACCTGCCAGGTACTAGCAGTACCCTCCTTCCTTCCCAGGTGTGACTTTAATGCTGGTGAAGGTTTGAGGTTAGCCCCTGGCCAGTTGGCAGTCTCTACAACCTCTTGCTCCCAAGGGGTGCTGAGGCCAGATCATGAATGCCAGAAATTGCCTGGGCTCTGTTTTGAAACATCGTTAGCTCACTTGGACATCAGGCCTTTTCTGTACTCTCACAGACTGCTGATGTCTACCTGCCTGCTTCAGCTCAGCTTTCATGGTCCGTTTTTTCAATCCTAGGGCCTCAAGTGTTTTTCTTAGACAGATAACTAAGTCTTCTGAAATTATACCTAAAATAACTGGGCATGTTCTTTACGTTATAATGTTGAGTGTGGTGGCTCATGACTTTAATCCCAGCACTCTGGAGGTAGAGGTAGATGGATCTCCAAGTTCAAGGAGAGCCTGGTCCACATGTATATGGAAAGTTGGTTCTGTCCATCATTAGGGTTCTGTGGATTGAACTCAGGTCATGAGGCTGAGCAGTGAGGCTGGGCAGCAAGCGCCTTTACCTGCTAAACCACCTTGCCAACCTGACAAGGAGTAATTTTAGGTGGCAGTTTAGAATAGTGTTGATTGAACTTTAAAGGGCTGAACTTTCCTCTGTCAGTTTGGGATGAGACATCCAAGACCTAAGTACTAGCAGTTTTAGTATAGTAAGGAACCATTTCTTAGTTTCCAGACAGCTGGCTTGTTGCACCATCCTCAGTGGCAGGTAAGAAGCCAATGGTCTGGTAGTGAGGTCTGTTTTAGGACACTGAGCTCATACATAATGACTTCTGCCTTTTTGACCTAACTGTCCCCAAGGACCCAACCTCCCTCCTAGTGACCATCCCACTGGAGCAGGGGGACACAAACAGGCTAACTTTTGATAATTGAGAACCCATTCTGTTCTCAGTAAATGAAGCAGTAAAGGTAACATATTTTGACCATAGGAGTCTACTATAAGAGAGGGCTGGTTAAGATATTGTTGGAGGCTGGAGAGAGAGCTCAACAGTTAAGAGCACCTGATTTCTCTTCCAGTCAGTTTCCAGCATCCATGTTCAAGCAGCTTACAACCACATGTCACCCCAGCTCCAAGGATCCCAAGGATCTCACACCTTCTTCTAACTTCTTTTTTTTGTTTGTTTGTTTGTTTGTTTTTGTTTGTTTGTTTGGTTGGTTGGTTGGTTTTTTGAGACAGTGTTTCTCTGTGTAGCCCTGGCTGTCCTGGAACTCACTCTGTAGACCAGGGTGGCCTCGAACTCAGAAATCCACCTGCCTCTGCCTCCCAAGTGCTGGGATTAAAGGCGTGCGCCACCACTGCCCGGCTTCTTCTAACTTCTAACACACAGAGAGAGGGAAAGGGAGAAGGAGGAGAGGAAGAAAGAAATACATAAATAGAAATAAACCATTTTTTAGTCTTTCCTTGTACCCCACCTTATGATTACAAAAAAAGTTTTACTGCTCTCTAGGTCTTAGATTGGAGGGTAAGCTTTTTCCGCTGTTGCTAAGGTACTTGAATACAGAGCATTCTGGAAGCCAATGCAATGTTTTAGAAGGATAATGTAGCCAAATGAAGGTATAACCAAGTATATTTAACAATAGGGGTTGATTAATGGCTAATAAAAGTTAGTGTTTAGTTAAACACTGAAGTGAAAAGTGATTGCATACTTGACTTTCCCCTTTACTCATTAATTTTTATAAGGTAAGAAGTATAGTCACCAACTTGGAATTACCCATGACCTAGCATTTGTGGGAGCCGAGTGACTTATAAGACAGTCTGAGCTACTCTATCTCAGGGGACCAGAAGCGGAGTGTAGCAATCTATTAGCTAAAGCAATTGTGTGTGTGTGTGTGTGTGTGTGTGTGTGTGTGTGTGTGTGTGTTTTCATGTGTGTGCATGTGGAGGTTGGAAGTCATTGTTGTATGTCTTTATGTCAGTGTGGAGTTTACTAGCCTCACCAGGGTCCAAACTCTGCCAAGCACTTTAGTTATGGCAAAGATTCTTGTTACTTGAAAGGTTACAAGAAATGATGTACTAATGAGAAAACTTGTCACTGAGTGAAAAATGAGGACATGATCACTCCTGGGTATGTTTGAGGAGGAGATTTTATTGTAGATAAAGGGGAGAACAGGCAGAGATATCTGGGAGTGTCCAGACTGAACCTAGCTAGCAGACTAGGTTCATTGGAGCCATTGGGGATGGGGAGGAAGAGAAGAAGGGGTTGGAGCAAGCCAGCCAAGAGAGAAAACAAAGGTCAAGGGTCAAGGGTGCCATGTGGACCAAGAGATCCAAAGGCAAAAATAGCTGAGCAGTACAATGAAGAGAAGATGGGGGAAGGGAAGCCAAAGCCCTGTCCCCAGGAGGGTGGGGTAGGCCTGGGTGAGAGGTGTTGGGAAAAGCCACATGTACTGAGACTTGTCCTGCGTTTCTTTGAATGTTAATAGTCAGCAGCTTAGCTTCTGAGACACTAATCTTTAATTGATCTTTACATTACCTTTTGAGAGTTGAGGAAAGTATCGTGTTTAACTGTAGCTAGTATGTTTAGAATGGACCTGGTGTTTTTCTATCATGGCTCACTTGACTGATGGATAGTGACTTTATACCACATTCTTTATGAAGAGAACCTAGACATTAAACCAAAGGATGAGGGGAGGGTTTTTTTTTTCCTTTGCTGATGTGATACAATGTCACCATGTCTTTATCTGCTCATGTATTGTTTCACAGCGCTGGTCCCAAAGGTGACAACATCTATGAGTGGAGATCAACCATTCTGGGGCCTCCAGGGTCTGTGTATGAGGGTGGAGTATTCTTCCTCGACATCACTTTTACACCAGAGTATCCCTTTAAGCCTCCAAAGGTAAGGAATCTCCTATGTCTTCTCCCACTTAACTGTTCCTTGAGAGAGATCAAGTTTTCAATGTAATCACAAAAGCTAGATTCTTCCATGTGTGTGCTGCTGTCCTGCTGACGCCTCCTTACCCATGTTAGTAAGAGCTGTGTGTGTTGCGGTACAGTCTAGATCTGCTGTGCGGTTCGGAAGAGCTCAGCTTCTTGCTGTGCAGTGTTTGCTAGTTTTAAGTGGATGTGATACTGTTGACTGGGTTGGCTCCTCAGTTGGCAATAGGCATTTCTAGGAGTAAGTGCTTAAAACTGTGTCGAGCTTGTTAGATTTGATGCACATTCTGAAGCAGTGTATTACTTCCAGCTAACACAAGAGGTCAGCAAACAACCAACAATTCAAACTTAGGCATTCATATATAAAACATTTAAATTAAGCCAAATGTTACTAGTAGCACACATGCCATCCTACAGTCTGGTCTGGAAACAGAAGCAGGTAGGAGGAGCAAAAGGTTGCAGCTAGTGTGGGATATATGGTATGAGGCTGGCCTGATCAAGAAAAGAAAAATTGTAAACAGGAAGTGTTGGACTTGGTTTGCCTTTGGCAATGGGGGCTGCTATAAAATGAGCTGGAGTGCGTGTGGCATCATTTCAGCAGTGTCTGACAGGTTAGTCACCTGAAATGTCATAATGCCTCCTACATGAATGCTGCTTGACAACTGCCTTGTTTTTAGGTTACATTTCGTACAAGAATTTATCACTGTAATATTAATAGCCAAGGAGTTATTTGCTTGGACATATTGAAAGACAACTGGAGCCCAGCACTAACCATCTCGAAAGTCCTCCTCTCTATCTGCTCACTCCTTACAGACTGCAATCCTGGTAAGACTAACAGTCATCTGCACTGTATCTGAAAAAGTACGTTTTTCCACATAAGCTAAGACCCACGTTCTCAAAGGACACTGTATCAAGAGTTTAGTGCACTAGTTGGAAAATGCAGCCACTCAGGGCTCATTACTAAGGCTGCGTGCAGCTCCCTGCCAGTTTTGATGAGGGTTCACTGAGCATTTGCCCACAGCCAGTGTTCACTTTAGAAAGAGGTATTTTTCGGCCAAATACTTGGTGGTTTCAGAATTGTAATCTTATTGGGACTAATTGTTTTAAAAAAGAAAGAAACAATTTATTTTTCTGCTTAAACATACAAATTTAATTAGGCATTCCATTCTTAGGGAAACACATTTAGTTGGAGGTCTGGGTTTTGCCCTTTTCTAGACATACAGAATACAACAGATACTGAAGTTGCACCAACCACAGAGACTTCCCAACATCCACAGCTCTAATTGGTCAAACAAAGTTGGTCCTGGAGCCTTGAATATCCCAGACTCATGAGTTTGGTCATACACATGAAGAAGAAAGAGTGTCACTTGTTGGGAGAGAAGTAGAATAAGAAAATAAAAGCCAAGCCACTCCTCCCAACCTTCTAATTAAGATGAGAAGAGGGGCTGGAACAATGGCCCGGCTTGTTAAGAGCAGTTGTTCTTGCAGAGGACCTGGGTTCAGCTTCCAGCACCTACTAGGGGCCCACATTTATAACCTGCAGACAGAGTATCCATATACATAAACCTTTTTTTAAAACTGTTTTTAAAGATTAGAAGAAAACACCTTCTGACAATGAGTCTTTCAGACATGGGCATGGTGATAACTGCTGTGTGTTTATATCCAAAGTGTCTGATTTTTCTTTCTCCAAAGTAATCTACATGTTTTTCTTCCAGCTGACCCTCTGGTGGGCAGTATTGCCACTCAGTATATGACCAACAGAGCCGAGCACGACCGGATGGCCAGACAGTGGACCAAGAGATACGCTACATAAACTGGGTTTTCACAGTTCTTAAAGGATTTGTCTGTCACAGAAGAGAGCTGCTTATGATTTTGAAAGGGTGGGGGTGGGAGTTGGTAAAGAGTAGGGTATTTCTATAACAGATATTATTCAGTCTTACTTCCCAGGATTTTGTTGTAACTTAAGGTATCTTGCTACAGTAGACAAACTGGTAATAGTGACTTTTAGAGCTGTCCTTTGCAGATTAGCTGACTTTTAGTACAACAGGAAAGAATGCATGTGTAGACACTTGTGTTCCATTGATTGTAGTCTACTGTACTTTCAAAATCAGCTTAAATTTGTATAGGTTACACACACGGCCATTTATGTAAGGTCCTATTTTCTTGTTCAAAAAAAATTGGAATTTGGTTTTTCCTTCTTAGAAGGAAACAATGGTATTTAATAAGTTTGCAAAGATGAGCTTGTTAGCTTGAATATGTGAAATGGACACCTGGCGACAAGACACCATGTAGGAAACGAGTAGTTAATGTATTTTATATGCAAATTACTTCAAGGGTTGAATCAGGATTTGTGGAAACCTGTAGTGAAATACCTTAAGCTGTTAACTGTAAGTGTGGAATAGGAACTGTTCAGTCGATTGGTTGATTTAGACTTCTTATGTCTGCATTTGTTACTGTGCTAATAAACAATATTAAGAACAACTACTGACCCTGCTGCGTTCATTTCCTCTCTGCAGTCTTTGCTTCTGAAGCAGCTAAGGAATACTTATTGCTTACATATGCCAGAACTGATACTTACACAGCACATTTGGAGATGTCTTTTTATGACTAAGTTTATTTTTTTAGTTTTTTTTTTAACATTACAGATACTAGTGTATCATCAAATGTATAGCTAGAAAATACACATACATATACACACACATACATTTTCATTCTTTGAGGTGAGTTTCATGAGACAACATTTATTGACTATTGGTATTTTTTCCTGGCTATCAAAATCTTGTTCTCTTATTTCACTTTCTCAGTTGACATTCGAATACACAATTTGAAGTGCCCTTTTCTTGGTACTGCTGTATACTGATAAATGTTTATTTCAATATTATTTGAAAATATTTTTTTCTTACAGGAGCTAGCTTTTTATGACTTAACTATTTTATGTGTATGAGTACACTGTAACTGTCTTCAGACACACCAGAAGAGGGCATTGGATCCTGTTACAGATGGTTGTGAGCCACCATGTGGTTGCCAGGAATTAAACTCAGGACCTCTGGAAGAAGTAGTCAGTGCACCTCACCTCTGAGCCATCTCTTGAGCCCCCTGGAGATATCTTAAAAACAACAGCCAGCTAAGCCTCAAAGATATACTCTGATGCCTGTTTGTCAAGGCATTTTCTGATCTGCAGATGAAGTGGTAGCAGACACATGAAGAATGAGCCAAGGGAGCTGGTGCTCACCTTGCAGAGGAGGTTCCATGACTCATCAGTACTGCTGCTGCTACTTGCTCCAGACTCATGCAGGGTAAAGGCTGAGCATAGTAGTACACACACATCCTCACCCAAGGTGGGTGTAAACCCGAGGATTAGAGTTCAAGGTCATCCTCAGCTACACACTAGCCTAGGCTACATGACACCCTGTCTCAAAGGAGGAAAAAAAAAAGGAAAATTGACTCAAAATACTTCAGAAGAAAAAGCTAAGTACCTGGAAGGGCAGGCTAAACCTGAAAGATAACCAAAAAAGTATGTTTGGTTGGTTGGTTTTTTGTTGTTGTTTTTAAGGAAATGGCCAAGACTGGGCATAGTGGTACACACCTTTAATCCCAGCTGAGGAGGACTTTGAGATCAAGGCTAGCCTGGTCTACAAAGTTCCAACAAGCCAGGGTGATATAGTAAGATCTTGTCTTTAGGGGGATAGAGGGCAAACCAGGTGGCTGTAATCCCAGTATTCAGGGAGTATGGGCACAAGGATTCCAAGTTCAAAGCCTGGGCAATTTATTAACACCCTTTATCATAAAGTAAAAAGGTTAATGGTACATGTGTATGAAGCCTCAGGTTCAGTACCACCAACAGAAAACCAAGCAGCAACAATGCTGATAGTTTACATTATACACGGTAGTCCTTGGCTTCAACTCACTGAACTGAGCCAGCCAGTTAAAAGTATTGCATTGAAGATTCCATATTTTACTTGTCTCAATGCATTTTTTACTATACCTTGTTTTCATATTTTTTAATACAATGACCAATACTGTTCAAATCTTCATAAGATTTTCCATAAACTAAATTACAAACTTGGATTAATATGTAAAACTAACGGTAACTCTGTATTTCTGACATTTTATTGTATATGACAAGGTTATTAGAAGAAAAGAGATACTTCCCTGCTCTTCAGCCTAGCCATTTTCAAAAGAAGACTCTTTGAGTATTTCATTTTATCGTCAGCACAGGCCGAGCTTATAGAAAGACAGGGCTCTGAATACAAAAGCTCCTCGTCCTAAACCCTAAGATCTAGTATACTTAATAGAGCAAAGCAAACCACCACTTTTGTTCTGTTCAGCAAAGCCTCTGTGAAATGAGAATTTAACTCAGAGACCCAAAATTGTTGTTATTGGGACAATTTAGGTATACAAAGCAATTGTCAAGCTTTATAATCTTAGATATTAGATAATTAACCTTTAAAAAAATGTTAGATGTTCCACATATACGAGTGGTTTTCCCTGCATGTGTATGTGAGCACTAAGTGCATGCAATGTCTGAAGAAACCAAGAGAGGACACTGAGTCCCTTGGAATCTTTTCTAGGTGGTTCCATATTATTGGTGAGCCACCATGTAGGTGCTAGAAATTGGACTTCTGCAAGAGCATGAGTCTTAGCTACTGAGCAATCTCTCCAGCCCTGAGTTCTGGACCTGTTAGATGACTCAGTGGGGAAGGTGTTTTGCCAGGTGCCCAGCCACCTGAGTTCCACCCCTAAAATGCATCCGAGGATGGAAGGAAAAAGCCGACTCCATACACACAGTAGTGATGATGTTCGCACCAAGGCATTTGCATAAATTTACTATGAGTATGAGAGCTCCTGACAAGCTGGAAGAGTTCCCATGTATACTGCATACGCTCTAAATTTTATTTTGCTATTATTGACAAGTACAGAATAAATAACAAACTTGATTTTAAGAACAAAAACACTTTATCGTCAAATAAGGACAAAATGATATCCAACAGCAATAAACTAGTTTAGTAACTTAATTATAAAGTGCATTAAATTACCACTTAGGGGTTCCATAAGGTCCAGAGGTGGTTTGTGAAGGGCCACGTTAAATCATATCCTTGTGCCATGCTACAGACATTTCAAGGCTTGACTCAGTTTTCGGAATTGGAGTTCCCTTTGTTTTTCCTCCCGGGCAAAGGGAAACTGGATTTGCTTTGGGGCTGGGAAAGCTTGCTGGCCAGTAAAGTGAAGGGCTCAATCAGTGTCCTCCGGTCTGTCACTGTCACCTCCCACAGCTTCACTTTCTCACTTCTTGCCCACTGTTGTGCCACGTCAGCATCCACTTGTCTCTGCTCAGAAAGGTCTAGTTTGTTTCCTAACACGACGATTGCCACCTGGGCAGAAAACGATGGAAAGACCACAGTGGTAACCATTGATAACCGTTTATACTCAAAATGGATAAGCAAATTGCTTTACTTAAATGATATTGAGGAAAAGAAAGCAGTAAACTTAGCTGCTCTAGAGTTGAAGCAGGAGGATTGCAAGTTCAAGGCCAACCTAGGCAACTTAGTTAAACCTTGCCCAAAAACAAGTTGAGGAAATAGAGAACTTACCTAGAAAATAAGAAGCCAGCCGGGCAGTGGTGGCGCACGCCTTTAATCCCAGCACTTGGGAGGCAGAGGCAGGCGGATTTCTGAGTTCGAGGCCAGCCTGGTCTACAGAGTGAGTTCCAGGACAGCCAGAACTACACAGAGAAACCCTGTTTCGAAAAACCAAAAAAAAAAAAAGAAAATAAGAAGCCCTAGTACTCAGCTGGCTGGGGGTGGGGGACAGACCCTCAAACGTGACAGAAATATGACAACAGAACTCTCTTCTGGCATCTACATGCATGTGCACTCGTGCATATAATTCCTCCCACCTCCCCACACATACATAAATAAAGTAAGTCTAACATTTTTTAAAAGATGGCCAATCAGCCAGGCATGGTGGTGTACACCTTTAATCCTAGTACTTGGGAGGCAGAGGCAAATGGATCTCTGTGAGTTTGAGGTCAGCCTGGTCTACAAAGCAAGTTCCAGGACAGCCATAAAAATTCTATCTCAAAAAGCAAAACAAATAAATAAAATGTAAGAATCTGGGCTAAGCCATCTAGCAGACTATTAACAGGGGTGTTGTATGGCTCTGAGGTTGATGACTGAGCTGAGGTGACAGGTAGTCAAGGTCTAAGATTAGTGAATTCCAAGCAGCAGGAAAGTGGCGAACAGGGAGGAGCTGGTGCTGACTTATTGCGCTTTTGTGTATTTGAGGTGGAAGATGAGACAGATGATCCCACATAACTGAGCTGGCTATTCAGGACCTGAGCTAGGGAGCTAGAAAGCACACCTTGTACAGAGTAAAACACAGCAAGAGACAGAAAGGGAGCGCTTCGCTCCATGGGCCAGCCAGTCATGCACTGTGTTTGCAGATACTGCCAGTATAACTGAATGGTTTTAAATGTGTAAACTACACAGAATGCACATTACCACTCTTAACAGCGTCAGACTTCACACTCTGTATCTAAACAGCCACTTACTTCCTTTTTGTCTTTGAACTTATCAATCTCCTTCTTCAGAAGCTCCACTCTTTGAAAGGACTCGAGGTTATTCACACTGTATACAAGAACAAAGCCATCAGCAAATGAGAAATAATGTTTTGGCAGCTCCACGCCTTCCTGCAGGCCTCGGGTATCGTACAAGTGAAGCTGCTCCTTCACCCCACGGTCTGTCTCCACAGATGCCATGTACACGTCTTCCAGCGTTTCACAGTCTTCCATCCCTGCGTTAAAAAGGAACCAGGGTCAGCCGGGCACAGTGGCCCACATCTTTAATCCCAGCACTCAGAGGCAGAAGCAGGCAGAATTCTATAAACTCCAGGCAAGCCAAGGCTACAGAGTGAGATGGTATTTCAAAAGAGCCATTATCGGTTATTCCCTAGCTCCCTGTGCTTCTGAGGCTGGCTTTCTAGGTTTCCCTTGCACCACGTGTAATGACCACGTGTCTACTCATTTCTTAAAAATGTAAAGTAGGTATTCATCCAAAAGTATCTTGTTTTTCTAAAAATATTTTTTGGACCATCAAGGTGACTCTCAAGCTTGGTGGTGTTTTGAGTTCAATTCCTGAGGCCCGCTGAAAGGTGAGAACTAGCTCCAAATGGTCACCCTTTAATTTTTTTACTTTTATTTTTTTAAAACGTCTGAACTCACTGTAGCTGTCTTCAGACACACCAGAAGAGGGCATCAGATCCCATTACAGATGGTTGTGAGCCACCACTGGAAATTTTGCTGGAAATTGAACTCAGGATGTCTGGAAGAGCTCTTAACTGCTGAGCCATTTCTCCAGTTCCTACCCTTTAATCTTTATGCAAGCCCCCTCCCCACCCAAACATACAATAACTTTTTTTAATTTTAGAAAATTATTTCTTAGCCAAGTCATGTCAGTGGTGGAGGTGGCAAATGCCTTCATTTCCAGGGTTTGGGAGGCAGAGGCAGGTGATCTCCGAGTTCCAGGTCATCTTGGTCTACAGAAAGAAAGAAAAGTCACCAAAATGGCTAATAAAAGATAAAATGTGTACCTGCCAGAAAGAAATACTCTCAAGATATGTATTTACTAATCTGTTACATAAACTTCAGTTCATTTTAACTGTGTATCTTCTTTACCAAAATCATGACCTCATTAAAGGCAGAAACCCCATCTTCTTCACCTTGGAGCTCGGCAAAGCACCATCACATGCAGTGTGATACAGAGAAGATGAGATAGCTTACTCATTGAATGAATACATGAATGAGATAATCCCAATTTTCAAATTAGGTCATACTGTAGCAAACAGCCACTTCTTCATTTTTAAGCCTAACTGGCAGCAAGAGCATGCTATGCCCGAAGAATACTGTCACTTGATGTTGCTACCTCAGAGACCCGATGATTCCTAGACCTCTGTTTGATGCAGGTGCACAGGACCCCATTTTCACATGACTTGTGTCTACTTGCCGTTTGTTTCTGACCTGCTATAGAACATGTAGCAAGCACAGCTGAATGTGCACAGAACCCAGCTAGCTTCCTTTTCCCTCCTTTTACGCCAGTTAGCATGAGCAACAAGCACCTTCCACCAGTTTCAGAATCTAGAAAGAAACTAAGAGAGGTAAGCTTACCAATAGTGTGATTCCCATAAAGGAGTTGCTCCAAAATTGCAGTTTTCCCAACAGACAGCAACCCACAAACGACAACCTTGCAGCCCTTTCCCATCTTGTCTCACGACAGCACTGTGGAAAGAATGGGGACTTTAAAACAAGTCCTTTCCTTTAGAGTTTATGTTGAACCAGTAATACAGGGGTAACTCCAGATACAGAATAAGGTCATCTTAACCACACTCTGGTCCCTTAGAGAGATCATCTGGATAGGCTGTAAAAATACCCAAATGGAGGTGTGTTTAACTCCAGTACTCAGGAGACGGAGGAGGATCTGCCTCAGCTCCGTGCACAGTGGATTAGAGACTAGCTTGGCTGTTCATCTCTAGGCATGGCTTGCTCCTTCCTATAATATAGCACTATAGAATAGCAAAGTGCTGAGACAGCCAGATTACCATGAGTAAGGAAATATTTTCCTCAAAGCTTTTGTTTTTCCAGAACACAAGATATCAACAGCTAAGATAAAAGGAAAAATGGTTCATTAAAGACAACAAAAATGTTAAAATGTCTTTAATACCAGCACTCAAAGGGCAGAGGCAAGAAGATCTCTGTAAATCTGAGGCTAGCCTGGTCTACAAAGGACAGCTAGGACTGATACACAGAGAAACCCTGTGTGGCAGAGTGTCAAATGGTGGAGCTGGAGAGATGGCTCAGGGGTTAAGAACTGGCTGCTCTTTCTGAGGACCCAGGTTCAATTCCCAACATCCACATATTAGGTCACAACTGTCTGTTCCAGAGTTTCCAACATCCTTACACAGACATACAGGCAGAACACTAATGCTTAACACACACACACACACACACACACACACACACATACATACACGCACATAGTCAAATGGAAACAGGCATGGTAGCACAGCCTTTAATTCTAGCACTTGGGAGGCAAAAACAGAAATAGTTCCACAGTTAAGAGCACTGGCCGATTTTACAGAGGACCTGAGTTCAATTCCCAGCACCTACACCGGAGCCCCTGGTGGCCCCTGGGACTGGAGTTAAAGAGCTATGAACTGCCATGTAGGTACTGGAACTAGGGTTCTATGGAAGAACAGTCAGTGCTCTAAACCAGTAAGCCATCTCTCCAGTTCCCCATAGAAATGATCTTCCAAGTTGCTCCCAAATTAACCCTGAAAACTTTGAGGAGTTTTGCATGTATATTAGTCAGTGTTCTCTACAGTCAGAACTTATAGAATGTCTCTCTATATTGAGGGAATTTATTGTGATGACTTACAGTCTGCAGTCCAACTAACCCAACAATGGGCAGCTGTGAATGGGAAGTCCAGGAATCTAGTAGTTGCTCAGTTCCATGAGGGTGGGTGTTTCAGCTGGTCTTCTGTATAAGCTGGAATCATGAAGAAGTAGGTTCCAACAGATGTGCTGGTAAGTGCAAGCAGGTGGAGCAGAGTGAGTCTTCCTTCTTTCAATGTCCTTATATAGGGCTCCAGCAAAAGGTATGGCCCAGATTAAAGGTGTATACCACCACACCTGGATCTAAACTGTTCTTTATTTGGAACTTGCTCTGTCCCAGGCTGACCCTGAACTCAAGAGATCTGCTAGCCTGAGTCTCCTGGAATTAAAGGTGTATACCACCTTGCCTGGGCCTAAGCTTTTCATGGCCACTATGCCTCAAGATCCAGATCAGAAGCCTATGTCATTCCATGTCAAGATCTGGATCAAGATCTTCCCAAGATCTGGATCAGAGTTATGTCCTCCATTTCTGGATTGTAGTTCATTCCAGATATAGTCAAGTTGATAACTGGTAATGGCCATCACAGCATGTGTGGCTGAACTAACCTTGAGACACAAAGCTCAAGACTCGGGTAGGGATCTGAGCACAAGTGTATTTATGAGACAAATTTTAGAGAAGAGGGATGGACTGACTGACGGACTGACTGACTAAAACATGAAGGAAGCCAGGAGCCAAGGGATGCAGGGGACCTTGAGCTGATGTTCTTCCTGACGCCATGATTTTTAACCTAGTGATGCTTCTGATCTACAAACTGTAAAATGGTGTTTTATTTGAGCTGTTAAATGTATTGCAATGGAGGCCAGGTGGGATGAACATAACCTCCTCACTTGAGGAAACTCAAAGGGTCTCTGTAGGTTTGAGGCTAGCCTAGTCTACACATGAAGATTCCAGGACAGTCAAAAGCTGCATAGCAAAAATGAAAGAGAAAGAAAATGTTATCTCTGAAAAATAAATTTTGAAACGCAATTGTTAAAGCTGGAGAGATGGCTCAGTGGTTAGAGCACTAGCTGCTCTTCCAGAGGACCCACGATGTCTGTAACTTCAGTTTCAGGGGATCTGGCACCCTCAGTCAGACATATGTGCAGGCAAAAACATCAATGCACATATAAAAATAAATTGAAAATATGTAATTGCTCTTGGGGAATGTTAACATAACCTCACTAGTCTCTCTATTCCATTTTTCTCTTTCCTTTTAGCCTCAAACCATCTAAGTTAGAATTTTAAAATCTAGCCGGGTGGTGGTGGCGCATGCCTTTAATCCCAGCACTTGGGAGGCAGAGGCAGGTGGATTTCTGAGTTCGAGGCCAGCCTGGTCTACAGAGTGAGTTCCAGGACAGCCAGGGCTATACAGAGAAACCCTGTCTCGAAAAACCAAAAAAAAAAAAAAAAAAAAGAATTTTAAAATCTAACTTTCATTCTCAGAATCGTTCAGTGGTTTCCTAGCTCCTTGGATTTGATTCCAGCTCCTTGGATTTGATTCCAGAACACTACTTGCTGTTTTAGTCTGTTGCTCCTTGAAAGGCAAAGTATCTGCTCAGGACCCCCAAGACCAGGTTCTTACACAAAGGAGATTTATTTGTCCCACAGGGACAAATGACAGAGGGCAGGGAATAAGAGACAAAGGCAGGAGATAAAGGATGAGGGAGAAGGAGAAAGAACAAAGGAGAGGGAAGATGGGTATTTGTCCTGAAGAGGCAAGGGAGAGCCTCTGGATAGAAAAGAGATGGACGTGCCTCATAGGCAAATGGTGGTTGATAAAGGTACAAGGGGTAATCTGGTAGAAGGATGAGATGTTTAATTTTAATTGTGCACATTAATGAGGTGAGCCAAAGTGGGCTTTTGACTTCAATGTTTGATAGCTGGACCTTGATAGTCTTGATAGCTCAGAAGAAGGAAGTAGTCTAATAAGGGAATAGACCATAGTAGCTAGCTTTAGAAATATCTTATGGTTTTTGGAAAGGCAGAGAGAATGGAGAAGGGCAAGCCTCTCATGCTGGCCAGAGTCCCTTCAGTCCTGGTATTCTTCTGTCTTGTCACTTAACCCTTCATCTCAGCCATCCCTACCCCAACTTAAAACCTCGAGGTTTGGTTTCTGATTCCTAAGTACTAAGCATATCGTGGTGGTTTGACTAGGTATGGCTCCCACTGGCTCATGTGCTTCAATCCTTTACTCAAAGGGAGTGGTACTATAAGGGGGTATGGCTTTGTTGGAGGAAGTGTGTCACTGTGGGGTGGGGGCAGGCTTTGAGATCGCCCATGCTCAAGCTATGCCCAGTGAGGCACATCTCTCTTCGCTGCCTGCAGGTCAAGGTGTAGAACTCTCAGCTCCTTCTCCAGCATCATGTCGGCCTGCATGCTGCCATGCTTCCTGCCATGATGATAATGGACTGAACCCTTGGAATTGTAAGCCAGCCCCAAATTAAATGTTTTCCTTTATAAAAGTTGCCCCGGTCATGGTGTCTCTTCACATCAATGAAACCCTAGGACACGCTACCACTGAACTACACTCACAGACTTGTAATTTATTCTTCAGCGTTATTTTCTCAAGAAAACTTATGGGGGGGGGGGTGGAGGGCTGGAGAGAGGCTCAGCAGTTAGGAAACACTTGAAGTTTTCAACCATTTCCACCCACCTCAGTGGGCCCCAGGTACACAGGTGGTGCACATACACACATCCAAGTAAAGACCCATAAATAGACACACATAAACTAAAAATAAATCCTAAAAAAAAAATTTAAGACTGTCCTAAAAGAAAAATCGTATCCTGCACTCCATCCTAACTTACAAGCTCCACCAGATGTGTTTAAAAGAGAAAAGAATGAGTCAGTTAATACCCCTACACACACACACACACACACACACAAGTCCAGGCTCTCCACTGGGTACATCCTCCCTCCCGCCAGGACGCTGGGACAACGGTCGTTGTACCACTCAATACCCCTCCATTCCCTCAATGTGTGTCCTTTTTACACTTAGCATCAAACACAACACTAGTGTTAACTTAGTGTTAACGCTTGCTCCCAAGGCTAGAACTTGCGCGTTGTTTGCACTGCATCGCCAACAGCTGAGACTGCCCGCACGTATTATGCTTAATTTTTAAATAGGACAGGTGAAGATCTTAAAATGCTAAGCCTGTCATTAATTCTAAAAGATGAGCAGAGCCACAGATTGATGTTAAAAGTAAACATGATTTCCAAACCATGTCCACAAACAAGCGTAGACTTTATTAAAACCGCACGACTGTATGAAAACAGAAAATCGTGGAGCTGCAAAAACTCCAATACACCATTATTTTTCAATAAAGAATTCAGTGCAGAATGCCAGCAATCTGGGCATTTCTTCCTGGAACAGGTCTTGGCAAATGAACAATTTGCTATCCTAAAAACGTCTAAAAAATCCCCGGGATCTGACATTAGCATCTCGGGGCTCCCATCCACCACAGGAAAAGCGGGAGGGGGACGGGCGCCACAGTCCACCGGCTAACCTGGTTCATGCAAGTCCCCGGCGGGCCTCAAGGACACGCGCGAAGTACACGCGCGCAGCCACTTCGCCTACGCCCACGCCACAGCCGTCCTGCGGCCACCGTGCTCCTGGATAACCGAGCGAGGCGCCGGCGGAGACACCAACCTGACACTGCGGGACAGTGAGACAGTGCTACGCCGGTCACCGCGGTCTGCAGATGCCCCTCTGAAGCCCGACCTGCTTCCTCGGGCCCCGCGCCCGTGACGCACACGAACTGACTGCCTCTCACCTTCCGCAGCCTTTGCGACTCGGGAGCACTGCTGAGAGCCGGGGGAGAGCATCCGGAAGCGGCGGACCGTCCCAGCCTGACTCCACCCACCAGGTTGGATGTCCGGACTACAAGCCCCAAGAGGCTCGGTGCTGCTACCCCGCCCTACCGGAAGGAGGGTCGCCGAGGTGTGGGGAGGAGCCACAAAAGGGATTGTGGGAGAAAGGCTTCTTCCTTTCCTCTGGCGGCAGCCATCAGGTAGGCAGGCTGGGCGGTATTTGCGTTTCTATCCGTCGCTAATCGCGCTATTCTTCAGCCATCCGGCCTCAGCGACCTTGCAGCCTCGGAGCTTCTGCCTGGCACGAACGTTTGGTCAGGATACGGGGTGGAGAGGGCACGGATACGCCGCCATCCGGGAGGCTTGAGAGACGCGATGGCGGCAGGACCCGAGCTGGGCCCGGGACTGAAGGAGGCGTGGGATGGAAACCAGGCCGCAGCCTGCCTCTCATCAGGCTGCCCGGGTGGGACGGAGCTCTCCCGGTCTTACTCGCGGTGGCGGTTACAACCCTGCTGCCGGCCTCCCCGAGCCTGGGGTAGTCAGTCTCACCTAGCCGGCCCTTCGTCCTGCCGCCTATGCAGAGCCCTTCCTATTCCCGGTGGACGGTGGGGCGCCAGGACGGACGGACCGGCTGTAGTCACTGTCCTTGACAGCGATCGCTCTTTCGATTTGCTTCCTCCTCAAAGGTGAGCCAAGATGGGTGCATACAAATATATCCAGGAGCTATGGAGGAAGAAGCAGTCCGACGTGATGCGCTTTCTTCTGAGGGTCCGCTGTTGGCAATACCGCCAGCTCTCTGCGCTGCACAGGGCTCCCCGCCCCACCCGGCCTGATAAAGCGCGAAGACTGGGATACAAGGCGAAGCAAGGTGCGTGAGGTCACGGAGTGGGTGATCTGTAACACTCCCAGAAAAGCTGGCGAGCCTCAGTTTGGAAGTCTCCCCCCACCCCATAAAAAACCCTGGTTAATTTAGCTATGCTAAATTCGATAAACGTTACAGATATACTTCAGTCTACATAGTCCGTCTATCTTCGTAATTAAAGGGAAGCATTGGAAAGTCTTAATTGAGTCTAACATTGGTGGTTGGGTTTGTTTGTGTAGGTTATGTCATTTACAGGATTCGTGTCCGCCGTGGTGGTCGCAAACGCCCGGTTCCTAAGGGTGCAACTTACGGCAAGCCTGTCCACCATGGTGTTAACCAGCTGAAATTTGCCCGAAGCCTTCAGTCTGTTGCTGAGGTAGGTGGTTTAGAGTATCAGTTGTCTTGACAACCCATTAGGGATGGTGGGCTAAGAAGAAATGGGAGAACACAGTGGAGTTTCACTAGGGATAAGTTGGGGCTGGGGATGTTTTGTACTTAATCTTGGCAAGGAGCAATCACTATCAAAATCCAGTCTTTGTTACTGTTCTGGTGTTTAAGTATGTACTAAAAGGGTTTTGCTTTTTGGGTTTCTGAAGAACTAGGTTCTACAGAACCTATGCTTTTGGAAGGCAGTAAAATTTTAAGCCATTCTCTTTTATTTACTTACATGGCTAATATTCTATGATTAGTTACTTTTTTAGGTTGCTAAACTCTGTTTTGTTGTAGAAGGCCCCTTTCCACGAGCTAGAACTTTTTTTGTTCTTCGTATTATGTATAGGGTTGTGGGCTTGATCCCTGTTACTGAAGGGGACCGGGACAGCACTCAATTTCATGCTCGGTGTTAGGGAGAAATAAGGAGTGATGTGTTTCTATCTGTTACATGTCTGTCGTTTAAGCTAGTCTTTAATTCTTAAGGTGTGTGGGGGCCTGGCCTGCTTCAGTCTCATCTGATGACCCAGAGTTGGAAGGATTTTTGTCTAATTTACTGCTGTAAGTAGTACAGGAAACTGACTGGTCTTTCCCCCCCTATTTTAGGAGAGAGCTGGGCGCCATTGTGGGGCTTTGAGAGTCCTGAATTCCTACTGGGTTGGTGAAGATTCCACATACAAATTTTTTGAGGTTATCCTCATTGATCCATTCCATAAAGCTATCAGAAGAAATCCTGACACCCAGTGGATCACCAAGCCAGTCCACAAGCACAGAGAGATGCGTGGGCTGACATCTGCTGGCCGAAAGAGCCGTGGCCTTGGAAAGGGTCACAAGTTCCACCATACTATTGGTGGTTCTCGCCGTGCAGCCTGGAGAAGGCGCAATACTCTCCAGCTCCACCGTTACCGCTGATACACATATTTGTACAATTCCTATCCAATAAACAATTTAGGACAGTCATTTCTGCTTAAAGGTGTTATTTGTTAAAACTAGTCTACAAATTGTCATGAGTGCTTTGTGAAAGTATAGAAGTTAAGGTGCAATAATTGAAAACTGTGGGTGATGGCGCATCTTGTTTTCTGATGTACTTTCTTTACATTATCTGCTTAGGGGATTAAGTTTATAGTGTTTGTGCCAAGTGGTATCTGGTGTGTAGGATCCTATAAAAGGAATCCCGAAACTAGCCCTAGATGTGTTTGGTGCATGAGATATAATCTACAGCTTTATGGTGGGATCTGGTTCACTGAAGTGGCTGCTTGGGAGTTTGATTGAGTACAAACTTTAGAGTTGGATTATGATTGATTACAAATGTGTAGGAAGAGGGTTTCAAACCTGTTTTGTGAATATGCATAGAGAAGTGAAAACTAACCCACATTTTGAAAATTGAATCCAGGGTTCCATTTTCAGAAGACTAGGTAAATTTGTTGGAAGAGGTTTACGTTCTGTTGGATCTAGAGTGTGGGTTTGACACTGGAGGATTTGAAACTAGTGAAGATTGAACATTGGATGGAGTAAGGCAGATTATTTCCATTAGAATTTGTAAGCTAGTAACCATATGGTTCCAAGTTAGTATGAACCAAGCAAATATGAACGGTGATTAAGCTTTTCTAACAGCTGTTGTGTGCAGGTGGGTCTCGAGTTCCAGGACTGCCTACAATAGAGAGAAATTTTCTCTATGCCAGTCAATTCATCATGGGTAAGATAAGTCCATTGGTAGTGTGATTTCATTGTTTATAGTCTACTCATAGGTAGTTGCTGGGGTTGCTGCTTCCTGGTACTGCCTGAATGTTCTTCACATTTCACAAAGGCCACACACACCACTACATTTTATTTCTGTGCCGTGCTTTGTAGTAGTTTCCCACAGTAATTTTTGAGTGTGGAAGAAACAGTATTATCCCTATCACATATTGGGGTTTGCTGATTTGAACAGCTGGCTTGGTATCAAAATCTAATTGATGCTTTTGTTAAACTGATTTTTTGGGGGGAGATTTTAAAAGGATGGTTTCCAGAAAATACTAGACTCAAAATCTTGAGACCTAAAATACTTTTCTATTCAGCAAAGCAAGTCACTGTATATTGAGGTTGTTCAACTAAAGTAATAAATGTCTGTTAAACAAGTGGACTTTATGTTATCTTTTATGTTAAAGCAACTTACAAACTTATGAAGAACTTGCAAAACTGCTAATGGTAGAAATGGCAAGCATAATTTGAGAGAACATGTAATAGAATCCTAAGAATTAGGAAACTGCTTAAGTGCACTGTGGCTCAGTTCAGTCCTTAGCACTGGAAGGATTTCCTGCTAAAACTGGTCAGTAGTCACAGAAGCTTTCGTTCGTCTTTGCCGCCTCCGAGAACAGTCTACACAGCAGCTAGAAGGGTCCTGTTAAATTGATCCTGGCCTTTTTTGTGCTGGAAGTTAAGTTCATAGCAAATGGTCTGTGTCTGCTAGCTTTAGTTCCTCAACCTTCCTTGTAGATCTTTCCCCAGATAATTGAAATCTGTTAGATGTTCTGTGACTGCTGCTAATGGTTTCTGGGTTTCACATAGCAGAGCCTGTCATTTCACCTTCTAGGTTCAGGGATCATAGCAGGCATCCATCAACGTTGTCAGGAAAAAGGATCTCTGAAGTCCTGACTGGAAAAGAATTTGCTGTATCAAACTATTCCCTGAGCTCAGATCCACCTACCTCTGCCTCTAGACAGTCTTGGTTTAAGATTTATTATATGAGTATGCTGTTGCTATCTCAAGACATACCAGAAGAGGGCATCTGATCCCATAACAGCTGGTTGTGATGTGGTTGCTGGGAATTGAGCTCAGAACCGATGAAAGAGCAGTCAGTGCTCTTAATCACTGAGCCATCTCTCCGGCCCAAGACAGTATTAATGTGTAACTAACTCAGGTTGGCCTTCAGTACTGAGATTACAAGCATGCTAAGTTTTCATAGTACTTGATCTCAATTTAGAATAAGTATGTCTGCCACTCCTCTCTTATCAATAAAGAATATAATTAAGTGGTGTACTCAAAACCACACACATTGCCGGGCAGTTGTGGCTCACGCCTTTAATCTCAACACTTGGGAGGCAGAGGCAGGTGGATTTCTGAGTTTGAGGCCAACCTGGTCTACAAAGTGAGTACCAGGATAGCCAGGGCTACACAGAGAAACCCTGTCTCGAAAAACCAAAAACACACACACACACAAATTATAGCTCAGGAGAGTATGCACCTTTTATCCTCACACTTGGGAGGTAGGCAGGAGGATCAGCAGTATGGTGTCTGTCTTAGAAAAAGCTGTGGGTACCAGGCATTGCGTTAAGGTGGTGGCGTACAATTTTAATCCCAGCAGAGGCTGATGGATCTCTGAGCTCAAGGGCAGTCTGATGTACAGAATGAGTTCCAGGACAACGAGGGCTACAGAGATACCCTGTCTATAAATAAATAAGTGCAAGCTTTTTTACTGGGTACAAACCTTTACTCTCCAAAAGGAATATGCCTCCCAGGTTATTGTCCTGAAGGCAATTGGTGTAATCAGTTTTATTTAGACGTCACATTCTACCTTCTGAGTATAAACTCAAATGTTTGTCACCACTTGTGCTACCTTACCAAGCTTACATGATCCTATGGATGGAATCTAGTACCTTGTGTGTACTGGGCAAACACTATCTACTGTAAGAAATACTTTGCCATTGAGAATGCCTTCCTATTGGTCCCAA